TTTCAATTCAATACAAACATTCACATGATTTTATTTATAATTTTTCAAGTGTTGAAGAATTTGTTGATTAGTTAAGAAAAACTATTTACTTTAAGTATATTTTAGTAAATAATAAAACTTATAGACTAAATCTATATAGATTATAAAGACGTAAGTCAATTGAATCAATATTTAGTAATTAGATAATTGATAAATTTATAAATTGAAAATTTTATAAAAAAATGATATACAAATTAAAAATCTAGTTTGTCCATGAAACAAATGAACAATTTTTATATGTTTCTTTGTTTCTAAAGTTATTGTATGGTTATGATTTGATAAAATGTAAATATATTTAAGTATATTTTAGTAAATAATGAAACTTATATGCTAAATCTATATAGATGTTACATAAGAATGTCAATTGAATCAATATTTAGTAATTAAATAATTGATAAAGTTGTTTTTTTTTTGTATAAATTAAAAATTTTATATAAAAATTAATACAAATTAAAAATCTAGTTTTCCAATAAAACAAATGAATAATTTTTATATGCTTTTCTTTGTAAATAGAAGTCTATATAATGATAATATGTAATTGCATAATTGATAAAGTTTTTCTATATTTTGAAAAATTGAAATTGTAAATTCTATAGTTATGATTTGAATCAATTGAATCAATATTTAGTAATTAGATAATTGATAAATTTATAAATTGAAAATTTTATAAAAAATGATATACAAATTAAAAATCTAGTTTTCCAATGAAACAAATGAACAATTTTTGTAAGCTTTTTTTTTGTTAAGAGAAGTCTATAGAATGATAATATGTAATTAGATAATTGCTAATGTTTTTGTATATTTTGAAAAAATGAAATTGTAAATTCTATAGTTTTGATTTGATGAAATGTACTAAATCTATATAGATGTTACATAAGAAAGTGAATTGAATCAATATTTAGTAATTAGATAATTGATAAAGTTGTTGTTTTTTTAATATATAAATTGAAAATTTTATATAAAAATGATATACAAATTAAAAATCTAGTTTTCCAATGAAACAAATGAACAACATTTATATGCTTTTTTTTGTTAAGAGAAGTCTATAGAATTATAATACGTAATTAGATAATTGCTAACGTTTTTGTATATTTTGAAAAAATGAAATTGCAAATTCTATAGTTATGATTTGATGAAATGTACTAAATCTATGTAGATGTTACGTGGGAAAGTCAATTGAAGCAATATTTAGTAATTAGACAATTAATAAATTTATAAATTGAAAGTTTAAAAAAAATGATATACAAATTAAAAATCTAGTTTGCCAATGAAACAAATGAACAATTTTTATATGCTTTCTTTTGTTAAGAGATGATTTGATGTGAATGTAAATGCATTAGAGGTTAGAATATAAATAATAAAGTGTGTATCATTTTAAGGGGTTGAATAGATTTTTTTTTGTTTGGGGCGAGCAGATAGATGATGGACCTAAAAGAGAGAAAGATTTATAAATAAAAGCGTTGAAGGGTGATGTGTAAAATATAGCGAATTTGTGTACACTCTCTATATATGTATATATATATTTTGAATATATGCTTATATGAGATGGAGAGAGTAAGAGAATGTGAGTGTATATATGTATATATATATATAGTGATGGATTGGGCAAGTAGGCCAGGGAGTTAGGAAAGGCTCAACAGGATCCTGCACTCGGCCACCTGATTATGCCTCCTCTCTGCCTTTGTCCTGACGGCCGACGTCTAAACTGATATGCATTGCCTACTATACACTCTTCCTCTTTCACCATATCAACATGTACACACACACACACACATATGTGGAGAGTGAGAGAGAGAGAGAGACCGCAGGAAGTTTAAAAGCATCACCGAACAAAACGCAAACCGCAAAAGCACAGACACCCTCGATCCTCAAACAAACACACAGAAAAGGAATGCAAAAATCTAATTTAGACCTGCACCCGGTAATTAGATTATATAATTTTATGCACGCACGAGGAAGGAAAAAAGAAAAGTGGTTTGTAATGAGATTTTTGAATATTTTAAAATTTCAACTTGAAACAAAAATATTTATGTTTTGTAAACAAAAAGTTGAAAATTTTATAAATTCTTGATTCAATACAAATGTAACTAAATATAAGTGTTTTCAAAAATTTAGTTCAAGTGTAAATAGAAAACTATACCATAAAATTGTATTGTTATAAAGGAGATTTTGTTAGTTAACGAAAGTGTTACATTTCTAAATATAATAATAAACAAAGATTTTGTTTAATTCTCATGATTAGTATATAGTTTCTCACATTTTGATAACAAATTGTAATTAAAGATTTGTTTTATTAAAATTTACTAATTAAATCTTGTTTTTATTTCATAAGTATTATTCAAAATGAATATGTAAGTATATTAATATTAATCTTAATTGTATGTACTTATAAGTAAAGTAAACGAATTATAAACAAAGAAAAAGACTAAGTCTAATTTTATAATTTTATAGAACAATTCAATATTTTTTTGTAAGAAATTGTATATTATTGTATTAAATGTATATAAAGTATAAAGTATAGTTGAAATCTAAATGATTTATACTCTTTAAGTCGAATTAGATTAGACTTGATTCATTGATTTTTATATATATAATTGAGATTAGTTCAGTTGTGTCGTTTAGTTTTATACTTAAATTTATAATAGGTTTAAATCTATTTAATATAGTCTTGAGAAATGAAATTATTTAAGTAGTTTACTACCAAAAATTAACCATTATATACAAAAATATGTATATCATATTAATTTCATTCAATTTTTTGTTATTTTTTATATTAAAATCTATAAAACATAGATTTAGTCAAATTTATTAACTTTTGTATAAGTATTTTGAAACGTATATGCTTGATAATTTATCTACTTTTGTACTTGATTCATCAATTTTTTTTGTAATTGAGATTCAGTTCAGTTCTGTTAATTAGTTTTATAGTTTTTCTCTATAGTTCTTAATAATAATAATGTCTATTATAGCTAAGGAATTTATTAAGTTTTTTGAAAATATTATTCTTCTTGATAAACCATATTTTTTTATGTTTTCATTGCAAATTTACTCAAATGTATTAAGTTATGTATATTGCATAAGTAATTTGAAATCTATATGATGTTTTCTTGATAAATTAACTACCTTTGTGCTTAATTCATCGACGTTTCTAAGTGAGATTAGTTCAGTTCTCTTAAGTAGTTTTACATAGTATTTCTCTACAATTTTATAATAGACATTATAGTTGAGGAATTTATTAAGTTTTTTCTATTTTTACGTTTTATAATTTTCATTACAGATTTAATCAAATTTATTCAGTTTTGTATAGTATATAAGTCATTTGAAATCTGTATTATGTATATGCTTAATAAGTTAACGATTCATCTAAGTTCGAAATTGAGATTAAGTTCAATTCTCTTAATTAGTTTCATATTCGTATATAAGTTTTGTCTATAGTTTTGACATTATAGTTAAGGAATTTATGAAGTTTTTGAAAATTTTATTATATATTCTTGTCAAATTTATTAAGTTTATAAGTAATTTGAAATCTATATGATGTTTTCTTGATAAGTTAACTACTTTTGTGTTTGATTCATCGACGTTTCCAAGTGAGATTAGTTCAGTTCCTTTAATTAGTTTTACATAGTATTTCTCTACAATTTTATAATAGACATTATAGTTGAGGAATTTATGAAGTTTTTTCTATTTTTTTTCTCTTACATTTTATAATTTTCATTACAGATTTAGTCAAATTTATTCAGTTTTGTATAGTATATAAGTAATTTGAAATCTGTATTATGTATATGCTTAATAAGTTAACGATTCATCTAAGTTCGAAATTGAGATTCAGTTCAATTCTCTTAATTAGTTTCATATTTGTATATAAGTTTTGTCTATAGTTTTGACATTATAGTTAAGGAATTTATGAAGTTTTTGAAAATTTTATTATATTATATTCTTGTCAAATTTATTAAGTTTATAAGTAATTTGAAATCTATACGATGTTAACTAGTTTTGTGCTAGATTCATCGACGTTTGTTTGATTAAATTTTAGTTGAATTTATTAAGTATAAGTTAAATATTTTAATGCTAAAATTAGTTTCTTATGTTTCCTCACATCATATAATGTCCGGAGCTTCCATTTCTCTTACGCAATTATTGCGTATCTTTTCGAGCGTATGATGAGATTTTCCGGTGTTTTCCTTTTCGAATTTTCCGATGAGATCGGTCGTGTGTGCGGGGGGTGCGTCTCCCGGCTCCGGGAAATCGTCACTGCCGCGGAAAGTTTCGCTCCGGGACGCGAGTTGGTTCTCCGGCCACTAGAGACCGTCACCTCTGCGGCGCTTCGGTGAGGAGGCGGTGGATGCGGATGGCCCCCAGGCGCGCGCCGCCGCCACCACCGACGCCACCGCCTCGTCCATCCCCACCGTACGGATCGAGCGCGGCGATTGGTCGTTGAGGCGTCCGGACGTCCCGCGCGATTGGCGTTGAGCGGCGGGGTGAGGCCCCATGGGCCCGCCCCCCATACCAACCCTCCTTATCAGGCCCCCACCGAACCGACGCTCGGCGTCGCCCTTCGGTCTCTGGGGGTGTGGCCCGAAGGGAAAGAGGTTCGGCTGCTCGGAGGTTCGACGGGGAAAAGGTTCGGTCGGCTGCGGAAACACAGAACCAACGCCACTCCACCCCCGAGAGGTCGCAAACACACCGTCAAATTGCCGACGACGACGAGTGAACAGAGAAACGCACAGTACTAACCACCACCACCACCACCATCACCACCCGTTCGATGCTTATCAACGGTCCCAGTCGTGTTTATCCTCTCGCCGGATCCGCGCGCAAGTGGTCTCCCGCGAGATAGCGCTAACGTCAAAACCACGACGACGACGCCAACGACGATCAACAAACCGATCATCATCATCCGCCGGGACATCATCAATGATCATCATTACATCATCATCATCATCGTAACATCATCCCCACTCGCGTGGAAGAAGGCCGCGAAGTGCGCGCAAATTAATTGGGGTAGAGCGAAAGCGAAAGGACGATAAATAAACAACAAAATAAATAATACAGACGAAACAGATATATTGACGATCATCAGTTTATTATTCACGCATTTACAGTTCAGTTCTTGTTGTTAATTGTTAGTTATTGTTGTTGCTGCTGTTGTGGGTGGGTTTTTTTTTACTGAAGAAGTTGTGAGAACACCGGCAAGACGCGGTCCGACGAGAACAATCCGGCGGAGCGCGGCTATCCGACGGCGTCCCCGTGGCCCGCGCTGTCCCTCCCCGCACCGGACAGTCTGGATCCGGTCGCCTGGGGCAGGAAACTGTACCCGGGGGGGGCGGCGGCGGCAGCGGCTGCCGCAGGGACGGGCGGACATCCGCGCGTCACCGGTCCGGGCCTGATGTTCGGCCTCCACCATCACCATCACCAGGATGCCGCCTCCGCGGCCGCCGCTGCAGCCGGTCTCCATCATCATCATCAGCCACGCGGTCCCAGTCTCAAGGAGGAACCGATCGCGACGGCACGATCGTGGATGCAACCAACGGTTCCCGATCAAAACGGGTAAGTTTACTTAACTTCATCAATCTACCTTTGAAACAATAAAACAAAAGCGAAAACAACCCCCAATTTATTTTGTTTTTGCGCGCGCAAAAAGATTTATCCGCGCGCCGCGTTCTTTTAATGGACCCGATGCGTCCGGAGCGGCGGCAATTACGAACTGCCACCGACCGAGAGAGATCATCCGCCAAAAACGCCGCCCCCCTTGATGTTTGCTGCAGCGGCTCTTAATGATGCGGTCGCAATGCGGGGACCACCAAAATCTAATTAGCAGTCCGTTCACTTAACTACTTACTACCACTTGCTTCCTCCTAATAAACGCTGACCCAGGTCCTCCACCAGAAACTCTCGTACTCTCATCTCTCCACAAACACAAACACACTTACTTTAATTCCATTTTCTCACCGTTTTATCCCTCAAAACAACCCGACCGAACAGTACACCCACGAATTTAATAGGAGAGGCCATGTAAAATAAACGAAAACAAAAGAACGTTTAAGCTTTTGTTTCAACCTTCCACCCCCCGAATCGAGCTTGCTATGAATACTTCAGCTGTTTTTCACGACAATTAACTAACGTAATTTCGCTTCAAAATTTTTGCTACACAAAAAATTAAATAATTGAGAGAAAAATATAGAAATTTTATTAATTAACTAACAAATTTAAACTATTTATTAGAAAAACGTGTAAATCGAATCGTCTTTCAGAAAATTAACAATTCTTTCTAATATAAATAAATAAATTTAAAGATTTTTGTCCAAAAAATTAACAAATAAACAAATGATTAAAGAACGAAATTACTTTTGTTTTTTAACAAAGCACACATTAAATTCAATTTAAAATTATAATATCTACTTCAAAATTTGGTCTTTTTTTCTACTTATTTTGAAATTATAATTCAATATGTAAATTGATACATGATAATCAATAGAAAATTCAATAGTTTTACACCAATTATTAGAAATTTAACAACATTGCTAACGTTTATAAGCAAAAAAAAATACAGACTTTTACAACTTCAGAATCAAATCGTCTTTCAGAAAATTAACAATTCTTTCTAATATAAATAAATAAATAAGTCCAAAAAATTAAAAAAAGTAAAATAAACAAATGATTAAAGAACGAAATTACTTTTGTTATCAAAGCACTCATGAAATTCCAGGTAAAATTATAATATCTACTTTAAAATTTCATATTTTCACGTCTTTTACTCTACTTATTTTGAAATTATAGTTCTAAATTGATACATGATAATCAATAGAAAATTCAATAGTTTTACACCAATTATTAGAAATTTAACAACATTGCTAACGTTTATAAGCAAAAAAAAATACAGACTTTTACAACTTCAGAATCAAATCGTCTTTCAGAAAATTAACAATTCTTTCTAATATAAATAAATAAATTCAAAGATTTTTGTCCAAAAAATTTAAAAATGAAAAAAAAATAAATAATTATAAACAAATGATTAAAGAACGAAATTACTTTTGTTTTCAAAGCTCACATGAAATTCACTTTAAAATTATAATATCTACTTCAAAATTTCATATTTTCACGTCTTTTACTCTACTTATTTTGAAATTACAGTACAATATGTAAATTGATACACGATAATCAATAGAAAATTCAATAGTTTTACACCAATTATTAGAAATTTAACAACAATTCTTTCTAATATAAATAAATAAATTCAAAGATTTTTGTACGAAAGATTTAAAAATTAAAAAAAAATTAATTATAAACAAATGATTAAAGAACGAAATTACTTTTGTTTTCAAAGCACACATGAAATTCCATGTAAAATTATAATATCTTCTTCAAAATTTCATATTTTTACGTCTTTTTTCTACTTATTTTGAAATTATAGATCTAAATTGATACATGATAATCAATAGAAAATTCAATAGTTTTACATAAGCAAAAAAAAATACAAACTTTTACAACTTCAGAATCAACCTGTTAAAAAATTTATAAAATTAGATCGTATAAATAACAAATTCCAAAAATAAAATTCCATTGTTTTTTAACGTTAAAACTGCGTTCAATCGCTTTCAGTTTGAAAAGCCAACCATAAATTACGCGTTCAATTGAATGGACGTGTAAAAATAATAATAATAATAGTAATAATCCAACAAACAAACAAACAAAAGCGAAACGAAACGACAAATTTAAACGTGTCAGGCAAATCGACGTTGGCCATTTTATATTTATTCGTTCGTTCGTTTGTTTATTTAAAACGCGCACGTGAATAATGTTTCGTTTTATTTATTTTAGTTTTCGGTGATGAATGGAAGAAGTGTTGATGATATTTAATGTTTTGTTGGGGTGGAAAAAGTATCGAATTTCTTGCGGATGACACATGCGAATTGACACATCCTTCGGTCGTGTTTTCTTGAGGTTTTCGCATCTCGTAAGATGAAGAAAAAGAAAGAAAAGAGAAGTCATCTGGTTCCACTCGAGAGGACGTGCGTCCTCCGCTCCTAATTTATGAATGAAGAATCGATGAGTTTCAAAACTAAATGCGGATTGATGATTAATTTGTTTCTTATATAGAAGAAATCAGAATGCTTTAATTGCTCATTATGTCTTCTTATGGTCGACCAAACCCAACTCTGTTAACTTATTCATCCGTTCGTCCCTTCGTTCTTTCTTCATTCATTATGGGTCTTCCTCGACCGTGCTGAATGTAGCGAGTAAGTGGACAAATTGGGTGCTAAACACTTTCGGATCTTAAGAGGGTTTTTCCTTCCTCTTTCCTTTCGGTCCCATAAATCACACTTCACGAATAAATCATCATCTTCGTCCCTCTTCGCAAGAAAAACGTTTAAACACCTTAAAAAAAAACTCCACTCATTGAGTAAACTGATACGTTTTAGTTCTCCTAATATTTACCCTCGAAAACCACAAATCTCTCACTTCTTCTCGACCACGTGTTTCCAGAAGTCTCATCCTCAAGATTTAATACGCGAAACATTTAAACTCTGAATACTTAATCATATTTACACGTCTTTCGAGAACATTTCGCTATAATTAAATCCACTCAACATTTATCCTAATTAAACTTATTTCTACTAAAGTTTCACATCTCAGTTCATTTTACATAACGAAACAAAAAAAAATATATAAATTTAACTAAATAACACAAAATATCACTGAAAACAAGACAAAAAGCTTCTGATAATTAGTAACAAACAGATAACTATAAACATATGCCTCGATAACGTGATTCATCTGAAAAACAGATGCACCGCGAAAACAAAAAACAAAAACAAAACAAAAACACGCACACATACAATATTCAAACGCAATTCAACTGTTTTCACACCACATTTGTTTCATTTTGAAACGTCATTTCGTTTCGTTTTTGTTTTTTTTTTACGCAACTAACATGAAAATGATTAATGTTAATTAAACGAATTCGCTTATGCAACATAAAACGAATAAATTTCATTCAAATTATAAAGTTTTTTTTACATTTTAATGAATTAATTAGAAAGATGAAACTGAAAAATTACATATTTACTTATGTTTTTTTTGTGTGTCACTTTTAACGTAATTAAATGTAATTTGTAAATGCAGATGAAATTTATGCACATAAAACAAACAATGATGATAACGAAAAAACTGAGAGCAGAAAAGATTTTTATTTTTTTGTTGTTGGTTTATCGAAATGCGCGAATTTTAATTAAATTAACAAAATGCAAATAAATGCAACAGTTTTCGAGTCGCAGGTTTTTTCTCTCGTATTTGTGTTTGTGCAACAGAAAAATTCATTAATATTTGTCTATCAAAAGTAATAAAAAAAAATGTACATGAAAAATCATAAAGAAGAGGAGGATTGTAAATTGACGTAATTATTTTTGCATTTGCGAGTGATACGACGCACAAACCGAACTCTCTCTTCGGACTTACGTTCATTAAATGTGATGTGGTTTACTAAGCTCGAAATCCTCTTTTATGGTTTGTTTTTTTTTTCAAACTTGTTTCCACGAAAATCCACGAGTTTTATTTGTGTAGCAATTATTGATGTGAAAGCATTGTGGTTTTAAGAGTTATTAGCAATTTGTTTCATTTAAATACGATTATTAGTTTTTGAGAAATTCAATGAAATGTTGCTACTTGTAAATGTAACTTAAAAATCGCAATATTTGAAAATCTTTGAATGATAATCGAAAGAGGGATTTCTACTAAACTAATTTCTTATATCATAGTCTAATATTTGAAGATTAATTAGCAATTTGTTTCATTTAATTAAGATTTTTAGTTTTTGAGAAATTCAATGAAATGTTACCACTTGTAAATGTGACTTAAACATCCAAAGAAATACATCAATATTTAAATGTCTTTTATTTAAAATTTTAGGAGTTTTTTTCTATAAACTAATTTCCTATATTACAGTTTACTATTTTAAGTTTAATTTACAATTTGTTTAATTCAAATACGATTATTAGTTTTTGAGAAATTCAATAAAATGTTGTCACTCGTAAATTTGACTCAAACATTACAAATAAATAGATCAATATTGAAAAATTCAAAAAGTTTTTTCTGTAAACTAATTTCTTATATTATAGTTTACTATTTTAAGATTAATTTACAATTTGTTTTATTGAAATACGAATATTAGTTTCTGAGAAATTCAATGAAATATTACCAAAAGTTTGTCTATAAACATCACAAACAAATACATCAATATTTAAAAATCTTTTATTTAAAAAATAGAAACACGTTTTCCAGTAAACTAATTATTTATATTATAGTTTAATATTTATAGATTAATTAGCAATTTGTTTCATTTAAATAAGATTATTAGTTTTTGAGAAATTCAATGAAATGTTACCACTTGTAAATGTGAATTAAACATCTGAAACAAATACATCAATATTTAAATATCTTTTATTAATAGAACAAACAAAGAGGTTTTTCTAGTAAACTAATTACTTATATTATAGTTTAATATATATAGATTAATTAGCAATTAGTTTCATTTAAATAAGATTATTAGTTTTTGAGAAATTCAACAAAATGTTACCATTTGTAAATTAGACTCAAACATCACAAATAAATTCAACAATATTTGAAAATTAAAAATAAAGGTTTTCTCAATAAACTAATTATCTATATTATAGTTTACTATTTCAAGATTAATTAGAAATTTGTTTCATTTAAATAAGATTATTAGTTTTTAAGAAATTCAACAAAATGTTATCACTTGTAAATGTGAATTAATAGTCACAAAAACATCAATATTTAATTATCTCTTATTAAAAATCCAAAGAAGTTTTCTCGCAAACTAATTAACTATATTATAGTTCAATGTTTTAAGATTAATTAGCCTTTTCATATATTCAAATACGTGCATTGGTTTTCGAGATAATAATTAAAATGTAAACACATGTTTTTTCAATTTCATTCGAAATTTAAATAATTATATAATTGTCCCTTAGATGGCGT